CTACGTATTAGGAGGGTCAAGATCATGTTGGCGTATTGGACTAATACAAGGACTAATACAAGGACATAGTATGGTGCACCCCACAAAAACTGTCTTGCAAGAATGCGCAGAGCATAATAAAAGCAATTTTTAGTTTTGGTGGGGAATGCTAAGGCTCAAAATGCAGGTCTCAATCAGTTGCAAGTAGGACCCACTGTGGCAATATCAATGATGCCACCCTGGAAATTTACAAAATCATCTGTAAATATAAGCTTACAACAAATACTAAAAGAAAACTCAAAAATAATGCCACATTGGATAATAGTTCAAAACTATGTAGAGCAGTATCAAGAGGAATTATTCATATTTACAGAGGGATCAAAGCAGCCGGAAACAGGCCGTACTGGTGCAGCATTTTTTATTCCTCGGTATGAAGTAGTAGTCAAAAAGAGGACAACAGACTACCTGTCAGTTTACACTGTGGAGTTAGTAGCAATTTTACTGGCATTAGGGTGGGTGGAAGAAAATAATCAGAACCAAGGTGTCGTTATAACCTCAGACAGTTTATCAGCATTATTAAGCATTCAATCTGGGAGAGCATCATGTAGACAAGACCTCATTTATCAAATACTCCACTTGCATCTCACACTTCATAATAAGGGAATGACTGTCTCCTTCCTTTGGGTTCCTGCCCATGTAGGGGTGGAAGGAAATGAAGTTGTGGATATGCTAGCAAAAAACTCTACAAAGCATGAAACAGTAGATGTCACTGTGGAGTTAGTAGCAATTTTACTGGCATTAGGGTGGGTGGAAGAAAATAATCAGAACCAAGGTGTCGTTATAACCTCAGACAGTTTATCAGCATTATTAAGCATTCAATCTGGGAGAGCATCATGTAGACAAGACCTCATTTATCAAATACTCCACTTGCATCTCACACTTCATAATAAGGGAATGACTGTCTCCTTCCTTTGGGTTCCTGCCCATGTAGGGGTGGAAGGAAATGAAGTTGTGGATATGCTAGCAAAAAACTCCAAATATTGGAACACAGCGGATACAGGACGTCATTTATACAGTATACAAAATCAAGTAGTCACAAGCATGAGGAAGGGCAGAAGCCCAAGGGAGGAGATGTTAGTCTCACGTCTTAGAATGGGTCACACTGGTTTAAATACAACATTGCACAGAATAGGAAAACATCCCACTGGACGACACTTGAGCATTTATTAGGGAAAGCATCTGGGAGAATACACAATTTATTCATGTTATTTTTGAAAAACACTGGGTTAAGTAAAATAATTTAATATGGATTTTTTTTTTTAAGTAAATTTTTTTTTTCCTTTTTTTTTCTCTCTCTCTCCACCTCTCCTTTGATGTCAGTCTAATACCCACACTCTAGTCTAGTAGGTGGCGGTAATGCACCTTTGAGATGAGTTGCCAACCGCCATTAAACCTGAAAGAAGAAGAAGAAGAAGAAGCCGTAGATGCGGATCATGTGCACGTGAAAACTACATAATAAATGCACGCCAATAAACTGCTTGTTATATGCGCGTCAAACACGTGCGTATCATATGCACGTCAAAATTTCTGCATATCAATAGTACGTTTTTCTGTTTGTATTTGGCGTACTATTTATGCATTTTCATGAGATCGGGCTCACCCCTCTCATCCAATAGGATATGCATTACTATGTGTGTCATATAAGAATAACTTATAAAAGTTATTCCCAGATGCATCCTGTAATTCTAGACTACACGCAAAACCTTGAACAAGCAGATAAAAACGAGATATGGAGAGGGGGAACACGTGGAGGAAGAGAGAACACAAACAGACAAACTCAGAGAAATATTTGGCAGAGAGCATGATATAATCTAACATACCTTGTTAAAAGTACAATTATGTACTCTTTGCTGTCAGAACTGATTTTGTACCTTTAAATTAAAACAAAGGTCCACAGTTTTCATCTAAAGGACCATTTCCTGTACCTTACAAGGTACTTTCGTGGCAAATGTACCTTTAGGTACAGAAAAAATACCCCTATTTTTCTGTATACCTACAGGCCACACATACTTTAAAAAAAACTGTTAATCGTAAGTTCAAAACATAAATTAATCAAGCTATCGATCAATCCATCAGCAATTTGCTACATTTCTACAGTAATATAGAAATACTTTCCAAATGTAAAAACAACAAAATACTTTCAAAACAAATGTAGCTGAACACCTACATAGGTGTTAGTCTTTAAATGTTATTATCATATACAAAAGGTAACAACTTCAGTAATTTTATAGTGAATAATTTTGTACTGTAATGTAAACTTGGACCATATAATATATACTTGCAATGAATTCTCTAAACAGATTGGTGTCATTGTTATTTTCTGAGGACATTTTACAAATAAAATCAGTGTATAATTAGGTCATTGAATGACAGCATGCTTGCTGGGTGACAACCTTTGTGTTCTGGAAGAATGAGTCGATGTGTATGAAATTATATTTAATTTTCCTGCACTCTTCAAGTTGCATGTTGATTCCATCAGGTGGCATTTGCAGTCAAACTGGATAATTTACAGAAAGTTAAATATATGCCAAAATCTTGTCACTCCTCAATTTACAAAACAACCCAACCTGCCAGTCCCCTTAAGAGGAATGTGCACAAATGCAATAGATTAATATTCACTGACTAGAGACAGACACTGTTCAAAGCTGCAGAAAAGCTAATTGCAATCAAGAGAAACATGGATTCAAGAAAGTCTCCAACAGAGTGGAATTCATCTCAGAATCCAGAAACAGGGCAGCCATTGCTTTCTCTGCAGCGGGACCCTCCGGAGTACTCAGATGCTGGATTCCTTCCCTCTCACAGCAATCCCAGCAATACGGAGCTCCAGTGGCATCTGGCCTGTACACTCCAGGGTCATATCTGGTGCAGAATGTGGTCACTGTGCAGCCTACGGCTGAAGTGTTCACTCCACTGGCCAATCCACTGCCAGAATACATGGGCTACTCCATCTTTACCATGCTGTGCTGCTGTATGCCTCTGGGATCAGCTGCCCTTGTTTACTCCCTCACAGTAAGTAGTTCATATACAGTCTTATATACTTCATTTAACATTATGACATGTATGGACAGAAAACATATATGTCATATAAATGTCACTATTCAGACTCCCTTCACATTTTCAATTTATTTATGTTGCTATCTGATACTACAACTGTTTAAATTCATTTTTTTATATTAATCTACACTCCGTACCTCATAATGACAAAGTGAAAACAGAATTTTAGAAGTGTCTGTAAATGTATTAAAAAGAAAATCTGAAATATCACATTTACATAAGTATTCACTCTTAGTTGAAGCACCTTTGGCAGCAATTACAGCCTCAAGTCTTTTTGGGTATGACACAACAAGCTTTGAACACCTGGATTGCAGACCCAGTCAGGATCGTTCGTTTACTGGTGATTTAACATCATGGATTGATGTTGATATTTTGATTGTAACTTTTCATAGATTTAATGTTGATTTATAGGCCTTTTTTAACCTTTCTTCATGCGTTTACAATAAACAATGTTTTTTAATGTAAAAAAATTAACGACCTGAAGATGCATGCTCATTCAAGATTTTGCTTATTATTAACTATTTTTGACATGCTCAGATCATGTACATCATGTGAAGTATGACAAGTGTCTCTCTGTATATTTGTGCGACTCAGAAATACAGTTTTGTGGCTTCCCGTAACTTTCGCTTATAGAGAAAGAGGTGTGGCACCGCAGAACAAAAAGGGAAGTCTTGTGACTTGGTAACCCCTTATGAAAAGTTGCAAATATCTTCAGTTCATTCTTCCATCCGCTGAAATGGGGTTTAACCTTTAAATACTTACAAAGTGCTTTCATAAAACAATTAGATTATTTATCAAAAAGTCTATTTTTATTTCCTTCAACAACACTCCAACTTTTTTTGAGACCACAGTCAAAGCGTGTAATGATTTTTTTTTTTTTTTGAATGAAGCCAGTTTTGAAATTCAAACCAAAATTGCTGTACAAGTTCACACTGGAAGAAGATTTCAATGTCTTTCTCACAGAACCCGCATGAATTGTTCTCCCAGTTAAATATTTTGTGTAAGTTGTTATGGATACATTTCATTTTGGATTTTAAATGGCTCTTCTTTGCCCTTAGGAAAGATTGGATAAGCTAAATATTGCTTATTTTCTTTGCTTCTTGAAGAACATAATTACTTTTCAGTTGACTGGTACTGCTTAGATAATACATTTCTAATAAATTTATTTGTAAACTGATGACACAGAACATATGTTTGGAAGGAGCGTGGGATAGAAACAGAATTCATAAATCATTGTATGAATGATTTTGAAACTGATTAAAAAAGTTAATAATAATTAACTAAATAGCTCAATTTAACCGAATAGACGTCACCCCACTTCCTAGCAGATTAATCAAAGTACATTAATGCAGCTGTTTTGTATTACACATTTTATGAAATATTATGTTTTATGAAATTTTGACAAATGAAAATGAGGCATTATCTAATTAAATATACAATTTGCATACATTTCCAGAACAGAAATTTGGACATTGAATAAAGCAAGGTTTAAAATTCTTGATAGATTTTGTTGTTTTGTTAGTTGTTGTTGTTGTTGTTTTTACACAAAAAGGGTTTAGTTTTTCTTTTTATTGCTTCATAAATCAGAAAATACTGTCAACAGCCAGAAAAAAAAAGTTTTTGTTTGTAAGGAAAACCTCTCTGTAACAGCCTTCAGAGTATAAACATGGAAGTGGAGCTTCCTGGTTTAGTGTGTAAGAAAAAAAACTTTTTTAGAAAACAGCCTTTAAAGATATATGATTTTCTCATTTCCATTTGTGTAATGTTTTCTTAGTGATTTTATATCCTGACCTGTGAATCCCTTAAATTACATTTTTATGCATGTTATTTAAGAAAGGTACTATAAAGGTAACATTGTAACATTAGTGTTTTTTTTACAGACTGGAGATGCTAACATGTTTGGACACCAGCAAATAGCCAGCAGAAACTCCAGAATGGCATGCATAATCAACCATATCATTGTTGCTGTTGGCCTAATCTTTTGTTTGATTTATATAGTTTGCATCATTCTTCCTGTTGTCACAGTTACACGACATTCACAGCTTTAGACCATAATTGTAAGCAATCTCATGCAGGACACCAGAAAGTTGAAGATAGTAAGGGTTTTACAAATAGAAACACCATATGTTTCAAATACAAGCACATTTGTGGTTCTGCTTTTAAATGTTAGTGTTGCTCAAGTTATTTTTTTGTATGATAGCTTTTAGACTTTTTACTGTATGTATGAGGAGCTCCATCCAGAGGACCAGTGAGGAATGATTCAGCATGTTTAATGACACAGACTCCTCACCATATCATTGTTAATACATAATTCAAACAAATGCTTTTTAAAGTTAACTATTTTATGTTTTTTTTTTTTAATTAAGCTTTAACTGTTAACGTAAATGCAGCATCAATTTATGTTTGTTTTTCTGCTTGTCTTTATATTACATAAAACTTGGAATAATCACTAACAAATGCCGGATGTCATGTTTTAACTTTTACCAGAGTCTGTTTTTGCCATGATACACTTACATTTAATTTTTTCTTGTTTTTAGTTTACTTTATAATTCATCAACTTCTTCTTCTTACCTTTTTAAACTCATGGGTTCTCCAGGGTGGCTGATTTTACAATTAAAGACCTCAAATAAAAAAATGTCTAGTAACGATATTTATCTGTATTTATTGATATTATCTAGTTATCACAAAAAGCAGAATGTATAAGTTAATGAACCGAAATATCAAACCATAGTCTTGGCCAACAAACAATGTAATTCATAAATTATGTATATCTTGACAACATGATAATACAGTTAAATTAGGGCTGAACGATATATTTCTTAATTTTGGTCGATACGATATAATTCCGATATCGATATGAATATTTAAAAAAAGCCACAATGGATGTCTGTACCTACAAACGTCTTAAAAATTAATTTGCCAAGTATATAATACCTCCTCAATTTATTTACAGTTATGCATTTGTCAAAGAAGGTATTCAGGGCAGTATTATTTTAGTATAATTGAGCTATCAATATAACTTTTTATTAGTTTGTAGTTTTAATTTTATGTTTACATTTTAATTTGTAATAAAGTTCAAGTAATTTTGTTGTTGTTTTATTTTGTATTTTTTTTTATTTTAGGCCTTACATTTTAGTTTGAGTTATTTTAGTAGACCAAGCTAAACTAAATTAAAGTAAGAAATGCTGCATTGGCAACTAGCTGAAATAAAATTTTAAAGTTTAAATTTAAATTTAAATTAAAAAGTGTAAGTTTCTTATTTTTTATTTACTGTAAGTTTGTTTACTTAATAAAAATATTTTTATGATTTTAGTTTTATTAGTTAACTATAACACTGATTCAAGGTAGGCTTTCCAGTCGATCCCAACACACACAGGTAAAA